ACCAGGGAAATTGAAAAAAAAAAAACTCTCAGTAAAGAGGAGTACGTGACTACTTAACACCCACAGTTTAAGTATTTAGGGGCAAAATTGTACACTAAAGTGAAATTCAAGCAGCACTTTGCAAACGTGGTAAACAAAGGAAAATACATTTATAATGCCTTATCAAGAAAGATGGCAAATAGAGGCTCCAGCCACCGACTTTTAATCGCAAAAGCGATGAGCTCAGCTATACTATAAGCAGCTCCAGTATGGATACAGGCACTAAACATAAAAGCGTATGCCAAACCAATAAATGCTGTGTATAGACTCACAGCAATAACAGTAACAAGTACTTTCCACCTGACCCCAGTATTAAGCGGTCATGGGTACTTCTGAGCCTACCGATAAAATTTCAAAATGACGTCAGTCCGTATTGTTCGATGTGGACGGAATCAATAGAAGTCTCTGAACACGTGTTTTTTCCATTGTTACCGGTGGTAGTTTAACAGTGCAAAGTTTGACTGCATTTATATGTCAGTCCTCTGAGAAGTGGAAAGCTTTTTGTAGCGTTTTAAAAAAGATAAAGTTAATTTTGAGCGTCGATTCAAACAAGAGGTGGTGTGAACCAAACTAAAGAGTGGTGTGAACCTGGTTGATCGGCTTCGAAATGGATTCGTGTCCGCAAATCGGAAAAGAAGGTTATGGCGTCAATTTTCTGGGATGCAAGAGGAACTTTGTTTGTGGATTACTTGCTATCTGGTAAAACAATTAATTACGAATGTTATTACAACCTTTTGCACCAGTTGAAGAAAAAAATTCGTGAAGAAGACCCGGATTGGAGAAGAAAAATCCTTTTTAATCAGGAAAATGCACCGTGCCACAATTGCATTTTGACAATGGTTAAATCTCATGAATTAAAGTTCGAATTGTTGGAGCATCCACCGTATTCACCAGATTTGGCCCCCAGTGATTTCCATTTGTTTCCAGAACTCAAAAAATGTATACGTGGCAAGCGTTTTTCATCGAATGAAGAGGTCATAACGGCTGTTGAATCGTATTTTGCAGACCGTCTGTATTCTCACTTCTGGGATGGGATCCACAGATTGGAGGATCGTTGGAGCAAGTGTATTAATGTTCAGGGATATTTTACTAAATAATAAAGAGTATTTTGAATAATAAAATTGTTTTTTTCTTATCAAACACCAAAGCTTATTGAACAACCTGGTATGCAGTTAACTAACTACAGCTACAATCGCTCACTCCCCGTATGTGATAAAAATTAGAAAATGGGCGTAGCATTTGGTGAAATCACATATCTCGAGACCCGACTAACCGATTTTGACTAAATTTAGTTCTTAGCATTTCACTCATATTTCTGTCAAAGTGTGAAAATGGGCGACTTCCCATATAACATAGTTTTAAATCCCATTTGATTCTTTCACTTCCTACTACACAAATCAAKAAGTTATGAATATAACGGGATAAAATTTCACACTAATAATTCGTTTAAAGTGTGCATGACAATAGTTAGTAGACAAAATCGGGTGGATATTACCCCAACTCCCATATAATGATTTTCGTTTTCTAACAAATCTTATACTGAATTTTTCGGTAGGTATATGAGTTATATAGAGTATATGTATGTCTGTATAAAATTGCTTAGATTCCGATCCTCTGGTTGACTTTTTTGCCTTGATTCTTGCAGTTGCAAAATTATAAAATTGCCGATTGCACTCAAACTTGGCCTATTCTTACTTGTTAATATTCCATTCAATTAAATAGTTTTCTAAAAAACCTCGTTATATGCTATTCATTTGATCATGCCATCTCCATATGGAGCGTCAGGCTTAATAAAACTTACGATCATATTGTACCATTCAATTTATAATAAAAATTTATGAAAAGAATGGCACATTTGTTATATCAAAAGGTAGGTAGGGTTATAACCGGGGCGTTTCACAATTCTAATACAAGTGAGTGCAAACAGGGCAAATTTATAAAATTAACAAAAAGGAATACCTACGGGATAGTTAGTGAGATACATACGAATCGTGAGAGAAATTTCAAAGAGGAAATTCCAGAAACTTTGCAACCAAAATATTGCATTTCTATATTCCTTTAAAGTACGTTTTTTATAAAGCTCAGCTATTCTGTTTGACATATTAAAGGTACCGCAATAGAAATTTTTTAACAGTCTGCGGGTGTTACCTCAATAACTATGTATTAATATGTCTATTTGTATTATTATATTTCCTTACAGTTATCCACTTTATATTAAAGTGTATTGTGTAATAGAAGTTTTAACATCATATGAAAAAAATACAAACAGAATTTAATTCATAAGTCTCCAATGCGATTAATATGATATTCGTGCAAAATTTTCTAAATAAAAGTGCTCAAGAAATCCATCAAAGTCAACGGTTTAACTATATACTAAAGAAGAACAAAATAAAGTTATAGACACAGATACATAAGGTTACTAACAAATATGTTTAGAATTAGAATTCTATGAATATACGAATGGTTAGTAGTTATTTTACCACTTACTTATGTAGACAATTAACTTAGCACTTACACCTTAGCGCCCACTTCGGCATAAAAAATTTTTGTTTTGTGTTATGGCCAAAAATTTCCTTTTAATTCTTTGGGGTATTTATATGCAAAAGCTTTACACAGTGTTTCAAATACAAGTTTAATAGAAAAATCTCCCTGGTCGGATACCAGTCAAGGTTGTACCAAGTATATGGAAAAATCGAAATTAAGATGATTGGATGAACAACTGATGTGTCAAGATGATTTGTCTCCGATGTCGATGAGTGTCGTCTCCAAGTGTGGTGAGTATGTCACTGTTGTGTATGAGGGCGGGGAGCTTAACTCATTTAGCCATACCGGCCCCCCTAGGCGAACGTTCCGCATAGCAATCGCTGGAGTTGTTGCAACGTTGCCACAACGTTGCTAAGTCCGGACATGCGCCGGTAGTGTGGCCTTTTCCGATGGCACCTGGTGGGTGCTGCGTTTCGTGGACGCCATAGAYGGGACTCAGGGGGTGGTACCGGTCTTCGTCGTCGTGCCACACGGTTTGTTTGCTGCGGTCTGCGAGTGTCAGGTGGCCGACCAACCTCACGTCTTGGGCGTGTGATGCTGCCTGCCACACGTTTGGCACAAAGCCCCAGAGTCACAATCCTGAGTAGCGTGCGTGTGTGCCAGACAATTGTGACAATGCCCATGCGCCTGTGCTACCTGCTGCCGCTGGATGGGTGACATGCCCTTGAAAAGTCCACAATGTTGCAGTCGGTGGGGGCGGCGACAAAGGGGGCATCGTATGCGATGGGGCTCCGCTGGTGATGACGGTGTGGTTACAGGTGCTCGTGTGCCATTCCGAGATGCAGTTGACGGGGCTGTTGCGGTGATAGTACGGGGCGTCGCTGTTGGGACAACCCCAGGACGGGACACACTGATGGCCGATCGCAGTGTTGGCGTTGGAGTAGACTTGTTTTCTGAATCCATGTTTGCCTGTATGGAGAAAAAGTCGTATTTAGTTGCAACTCATTTCTATATATTATGAAATTGTGCGATTTTTAACCAACTTTATTTGGCTCGTCAGAATTCAGTAATCTACCCATTATTTTGTAGTATCTTTATGATTTATCATATGTGCGATTGATTTCGGTTTTAGTTATCAGGCGGATTTTTCAATTTCTGCGTGTCAGTATTAGTGTAAGAATTGTTTATGATGTGCATTTTCATTATTATCTGCGGTTGGTAAGAAGCAGAGTTTAACGAGCGGTCTCGTTGGAGTTCCATTTTGAGTACGGAGGTCAACTACTCGTATGTGACCGTCGCAGCCGTGATGTAGCTTCTCTATGCGACCAAGCCGCCAATCTGTAGGGGGGAGAAAGTCATTAGGACAAAATTTCCAAGCTTTGGCGCCTTTTCGGGAGTTTTCCAGCGGTACCTTTTGTGAAGGTCCTTTATATACTCCTCCTTCCATTGGCGGCTGAAATCATGATGGAGAATTTTGATTCTTTCCCATCTATTTAGTAAGGAAAGCGAGAATGGGTGCTCCTTTGAGAAAGTGGCCTGGTGTAAGAGCTGTTAGACCTGAGGAATCTTGCGAGAATTCTTCAAAATTAAATTTGTAGTTTCCAGCTAGGGGAAGGTGGGGAATGTTGGGCACATGGGGAATCCCGGGCCAGCGCGATATTTTTTTCCCTAGTATAGGTTGACAGCTGCAACCAACTGTCATCGGCTCGTCTCATACTAAGCTCAGTTTCTATATAGCACTCAAGCTGTGAACACGTGTTATAACCTCTCTGCGACAACAAAAAGAAATTCGACACTCCGAAAGTTTTTTTTCAACTCTGTGTACAGTTRATTTTTTTCACATTTTCCRATAAATTCATCCAGGTAAATATGTTTATAATATTAGTTGAGCCTTTATCCTTCGACACACAAAAGAAATTTTGCACGAATTTACATTGTGTTCATTATCCACCGCCATTTTGCAAATATGAGCGTTTGGGGAATCTCGGGGCACTTATTACGGGGAATATCGGGCTACATGATGACATGCTAACTTCGTATATTGGACATGTATAAGTGATTTTTCGTGCAGAATTTCAACAACACAATAGTTTTTCAACATTTCCTGATAGTTTCGTGTTCCGAAAAATTTTTTTTAGTCATGGAACGTCAATCAACAGGCGAGTAAGGATTGGCAGGTGGCGTTCATGAAACAAAAATTTGTCACTGCGAACACCAGAGCAAGTAAGCCAGARCCGTGCGAAGCGATTCAACAAAGAGAATGTCGATGMATTCTTTGCCAACTTTTCATCCGTTCTCGGTAAGACGCTGTTTGAACCTCACCGAATATGGAACATGGATGAAACCGGGTGCCCGACCGTGCCAACCAGACCTGTCAAAACCATCGCGCGCAAAGGACAAAAGCAGGTCGGCTCATCAACATCTGCCGAAAAAGACACCAATGTGTCTTTGGCTTTGGCCGTCAGCGTTTTATCAACATGAAAGAGATTTTTATGACTCATGCGAGTCATGGCGCTGTTGGTGTTGCGAACGGTTCTGGTTACATGAACTCTGACGTATTCCCTCAATTCATGCGTCATTTCATCAAGCGCACCGATGCTAATGCCGATTCGCCAACCATGGTGCTGCTGGACAACCACGGTTCGCATTTATCGATCGAGGCGATAGATTTGGCGTTGGATCATGGCATCAYGTTGCTGTGTTTTCCGAAAAAATGCACGCACAAAAAGCAGCCACTAGATGTTGCGGTATTTGCACCATTTAAAGGCATRAYGACCGTGAAGCATGATGCATGGAAAAAGTCCAACATTGGTGTCACTTTCGATCTGCATCATGTGCCGCTCCTTGTCGATCAGTGCCTCGATGTTATGTTAACGCCGAAAACCATCAAATCCGGCTTCCGAATAACTGGCATCTACCCGTTCAACCTGCAAATTTTCTCTGAAGTTGACTTTGTCGCTTCGGAACTGAGCGGCGAAAATTTGTTCGGTGACGAAGAGAAAGACGCCGACAATCAACGTCGAGTTCTTGCCTCTGGTGATGCCATTGTGACT